GTTAGTTTAGAGGATAACAAATCTATACGTGTCGAAATTTTTAAAATGGTGATGGCTGTATTCAGTCGTACTGTTGTTTCCTTTTTTTCGTCGAGTAGCCTAATTTTTATTTTTTGTAACATTATTCCATTTTCTTGGCTTCCAAACGCTGCGGATGGATTATTGATATTTGCATTTATATGCATGTTTCTGTGTAGATCTGAGGTGGCCGATCTATTTGCTGACTTGATCTTCTGATTCGTTTTTGTTTCTTCATTTTTTACACATTTATTATACATTTCGTTTTTGGATATTCCTGAATCCTTCCTCTTTACTTTATCTTGATTCCATTTCCAGATTCTAATTTTGTTTTTTTAATCCTTAATTGATTTCCGTTGCTACTAGTTTCTCTAATAAAGCATCAATTTCATATTGGCTGGGTAGTTTGTGCCGACATCCAAGATGGTATATACCTTTTTCTTTATTTTCATTCTCCTTTGTACGTTTTAGTTGAATTGTAGAACATGATAGATCCTCATTTAAGTTATTTTTATATCGTTTATTCATAAATTGAATTGCCTGACGATTTAGGAGTAATTGAGAATGAATACTGAACTTTCCATTGCAACTTCAAGCTTCATGTTCTATTTTCGGCAATGATACAATAGTTTCTTTTATTTTTGTGATTCAGGTTGTACTTGTTGCTTCTGTTTTAAGCAAGTCCGGTAAAGGTCAGTTCATTTTTCTTGTTATAGTCGATTTTCTCATGTCATTGTAATTGAATTGGTGACGTGCAAAATTTGGTTGTTTCACTGACATTCTTTTTGTCTCTCATTTCAGTGCTTGTCTCCAGGTAGTTTGTGGACATGACTCGCATGAGAATTGAGGGTCTTCTTGTAGCCTTTCCCAAGTTGGTGGGCACTGGAAAGCAGCACACTTATGTTGAGAGTGAGAACGAGCGATATGTTTATCAACCAATAGAAGCTCTTTATTTGCTTCTTGTAACCAACAAACAGAGCAATATCCTTGAAGATTTGGAGACCCTGCGACTGCTCTCCAAGCTGGTGTGGTTCAGCTGGTCTTTGATTTTTTTTTCTCTCTTTTTAAAATCTTTGAACATAATAAGTTACATAAAAGTAAGACATTTGGTTCTTTATTTCTTTGATCACCTTCAGAAGTTGCAAGTTGACTTTTATTATGTAGATGAATGAGCACCAGTGCAAATATAATCTCAGTTTCTTTTATCTGTGTATTTAGCTAGTACTCATTCCTTGTCACTTTTCTATCAAATGAAGTTTTGCTGTTACCTGAGGCATTTTCAATTTTTAGCCTTTGTAATAATATTTTCTGTCTCAACTGAATTGAACGAAGCACTTACTTTATTCCTTTTCTTCCCCTAGGTACCTGAATATTGTTACACTTTAGATGAGGATGGTATTTGCAAGACTGCTTTTGATGAAGTCATCTGTCTTGGGCACAAGGAAAACGTGACAGTTGCACAGGTTATGCAATATGCGAGATGGAGAGTCATGAAGAGAAATTGCACAAGCTGGTATTGCAGAGCAAGATTAATGAAACTAAGGATATCATGAAGCGTAAAGCTAGTGAGATTGATAAGTGCAAGGTATATATTTATTGCAATATTTTTGGCTCTTGTACTAATTGGCCTCTTTGTTATATACTCTATTGATTCATGTTGTGTGTGCTGCAAATTGATAAGAATAGAGGTGATAAAGGAGGGTTCATGTCTATGAGCTCTGGAAGAATTTAAACTAGCTTTAGTTATATGGGCATTTCTAGCAGTGGAAGTGGTTCTGGGTTGGGAGTAACTACTGATGTTGATTCCTTTTCTACTAAGTCTAAAGGTTTGTCACATGAGGATTCCACCACATGTATTGGATATGACTTGTTTGCATGTATTTAATGGATTGAATGTGTCAGTGTCATTCCATAAGAAATTCAAGATTTTTCTCTCTCCTAGGTATGTTTGATGTCAAACAAACATTTTCTGACCTTATGCTCATATTGCCAGGCTGCCAACCTTCATCTGCAACTGCTCCTCCTAAAGGTCTTGGCATGCAGCTTGGTAAATCACGAAAAAAAAACCAGTTCTTGGAATCCCTGAAAGCAGAAGGTGGACTGGTTGTTGAAGATGTGCAGCCAAGGGCAGGGCAGTCCAGAGTGGTTGCACCTGCACCTACTGATCCCATCACTTTGACTGCTGAGGAGAAACTCAATGTCACTCTGAAAAGAGATGGTAGAATAAGTGATGGGACCAAAAATGTGTGATAGGTAGTTTCCCATTTGGCACCAAAAATAAGTTTGTTTTCCATATTGAAGAATGTGTGAAGAGACAAGAATGCTGGTTTCTCAAATCTACTATTTTCCACACTTTTTAAGGCCAATATCATTTTTGGGGTCGTGAGATGTGATCTAAATTATTTTTGTCAATCAGGGTAGATACCACTTCTATTTTCTTCCTTCTTTTTTTATCTCTCAATTGGCTAATGCATCTCAAATCCCTGGGTACATTTGCTTTAATCCATGTTGGCCTTAATTGCCATCGAAATACATCCTATTAACTCTATCACGTTACAATAAACATGTCCTCAAAGTGCAACATGTATTTCTTCTAAAGTCTTTATTGTGTTGAGTTAACCATTTTTATTGCATGCTTTGTCTTCAAATTCTGTCACAATACCATTTTCAGGTTGAAACTGGGGGTAACCCTGGCATTCTTTTCAAGATGCATCCTAACATGAGCAAGGAGTTGTTTGTCAATGAGAACATTCTAGGATTGAAGGACCCTAATAGGCCTTTCCCCACTGGTCCAGCTGGGGATGCAGCTGGTGTCGGCCTTTTGAAGTGGAGAATGCAAAGTGCAGACGAGTCAATGGTGCCATTGACCAGTGGGTCTTGAATCTAATGCTGCTTCTTATTCTTAGTAATATGATTTGCTATTGTATGCTTTGATGGTTAATGAGTTTTCTTTTTGGTTTGTTGCAGTCAACTGTTGGCCTTCGGTTTCTGGAAATGAAACTTATGTCAGCATTATATTTGACCTGCGAAATGTTGTGATATCTGTACCTCTCCCAGCTCTTCGGGAGGCGCCAAATGTCAATCAGATTGATGGTGAATGGAGGTAAATTGAGATCATTTGGTAATTCCAAGGAAGCACAAATTTTAGCCGCATGAGATTAATAAATCGAATTCAACTCAAGTCAGCCAAACCTTAATCCAGAACTCTTTGGGTGCCTATCTTTATAAGATGTTACTAACTTTGGGCGTTAGTGAAAGTACCATAATGTTGTGTTTCATAAAATGTCAAAAGTTGGAATTAGTTTTTATCTGCACTATCATCTTCATTTTCCTGTTTATCTTGCAGGTATGACTCCAGAAATTCTGTCTTGGAATGGTCCATAGTTCTCATTGATAACTCCAACTGCAGGTTGCTACATTTGTAACACTTCCAAGCCTCTTATTGTGTTTAGATGTTTTTAAGATGCTATTGATTTATACGTATTTTCTTGCTTCTGACATTGGCAGTGGATCGATGGAGTTTGTTGTGCCGCCAGCAGATTCATCTGTCTTCTTCCCCATTTCTGTCCGTTTCTCGGCAACGATGACCTGAATGTTTGATATGCAAATTTACTCATTTATTTGTTTGTTTGTTTTAATTTTGGATAGTTGCGGATGTTTCCATTCTCTCGGTTCAAAATCAGGCACCTTTTTAAGTGCAGAAAAGAAAAAAGTTGTTCCTTCACGTTATCAAATAAATGGCACAGATTTCACTTATTTGAGAGAATTATTGGTATAGATTGCGAACATCATTCCCCTGAAAGGTGGTGGAGCTCCCCCCAAATTCTCCCAGAGAGCGAATTTGATTACGGAGAATTATGAAGTTGTGTGAACGATAAATACTTGAAACAGTAATAAGAGGCGGTGAGTTCCTACTGCAGTTTTACGGTGAGTTCACTTCTATCTATGATTCAAACAACAGCTGCACCTTTCCTTTTGCATCTTTATAGTATTATGGACTAGCAAATCTGTTGCTCCAAATCTATGTGATGTTATGCTCATTTACACGGTGTTATATCATATAATTGAAGCTTTGCAGTGAAAGGCAATCGTGTCTTTCTACTGGTAACCCTGCTATCATTTTTTAACAATTTATAATATTTTTTTTCATCGAGAAAAACTTGAAGCATTGGCAAAATAGATCCGTTAGCAGCCCCTGATTTCTCTTAAAAGTGTCCTAATGAAATTTTTTAAAGTTTTCAAGGGGTTAAATTAAAATTTTCAAAACTTTTTAGAGGACTTGAAGAAAATTCCTCAACATCCCTCAGGCTCCCATTACCACCTGCCCCTGTTTAGTTAGGAAGAGCCACCCAATTAAAAGTACCTGCTTTCATATCAAGCATTGCATTGATTCATAACTGATACACTAATCCGTACAAAACCTTTAATTCTAAGGTACAAATTAAAAGAGAATACACCATTGCACTGTACTCCCCCGGAGTCCCACTACGGGTGGCACCGTTCTCACATTGACTACCACTATATAGTCAAATCATGGATCCGGGATTTTCAACACCACCACTTTGTACTTTACATTATATATTATATTCACGCATTATGTAAAAACTAGTCCCAACGTTTATATGAATGATTACTTTAATTCATATTTTTTATTATTATTTTAGTTTCTAATGCTTCAATTTTTTTTATCAAAATGACTTTTAATTTATAAAAAGCGTTAGTTGACTAATGATCAACATATATTGTTAATGTGATAGTTCTTTGTGTGTAATTATTAATGTAATACATATCATGTCATCACTTTGGATAAAATGATATATATTATGTTATCATTTTGGATGGTATGACATGTGACACGTCAATAACATACGTTGATCGTTAATTAACTAGCAATTTTCATATAATAGGATTTATTTTTGGTTAATTAACTAGCAATTTTCATATAATAGGATTTATTTTGACCAAAAAATAAAATATCATGATTAAAATATTCTAAAAATATATATTAAAATGACCTTTCAAACAAACGTTGGGGTTATGTTGACATTTATCTATTATATAGTACAAAAACAGGAAAAGCTCAGGACCATTTAGCCAAGAGTGACATGGAAGCTACCCCAAGGATGAGTGAAAGATTAGACCCAACCTGCAATTTAATATTGCTTTGCATTATGGGGTTCATGAAATCAACCCCGAGCAGATCCACAAGAGACATGTAAATCAAGATCCCAGCCGAAAGGGAGTTGAAGATTCCTTCCACCACTAGTGCTTTGGGGCTGTTCTCGTCGTATACTTTTGATACACCCATGCCTATAGCTATGCCCATTGGTGTTGTCAGGGAGAACAGCACTAGCATCATTGCAGTGGCTCTGTTCTTGAATTTTGCCTGCTCTCAGAATGTTTGATTGAACCATGATCAATCATAATATGCAATAAAGATGGTGATTATTTTGACATAAATTAATGTTCTTGCACTGTTAACGTACTGTACTGGATAGCTAGGCCTAGGGAGAACAGTTTTCTTTTCCTTTTTCTCTAGTTTATTATTGTTATTTGACTGAAATTAATATTCCCCTACTATTATTGTATCATATGATAGTTAGACCCCATTTAATTATATATTTAAAAAGTACTTTTTGTATCATAATTAATTATTAAACATATAATTTTAAACAATAAAAAGTAAATTTAAAAAACATTTTTAAATCCAATGTAAAAATCAAAAAACCCAATTGAAAATTAATTTTGAAGATAAAACTCTATAATTTCAACTTTTATTTGTCATCTTATGGTGTGTTTATTTTATAATTCATAATTTTTTTTATCGAAATGTTATTATATGATTAATAAATTATTTATGAATTTAAAATTTTTGAATTATATCATTGTAATCCTTTTCAGATTAAATGAATTCATTTAATGATAGAGGGACTTGTTGCGTAGTTTGACCATTAAAATACTGTCTCTTTAAATAGGGCAGAGTAGTAAGGAAAAGAGTAAAAGATTGAGAAGAGAGAAGACCTGACCTGAGAGATGCAACCACCAAGACCCATGCCTTCAAAGAATTGATGGAAGGTCAATGCTGCAACAAGAGGCCTGATTGTTTTGGCACTTTGGGATGCACCCAATGCTATCCCAATTATTACCGAATGAACCACTATCCCCATCTCCAACACCTATTCATTCCCATCTTTTTAATCTTCATACTAATAATAATAATAATAATAATAATAGAATTGGATGTTTGTAGACGGAATTAAAATATAATACTGAGAATGGTCGAATTACGTATTTAAATTGCAATTAGATTAAGAAAATCGGGGCACATAATCCATTCCTCTTTAGTTCTTTCCCTACTACTAGTAATTAAGGGAGTTCATTAAAAAAATTAGAGAAAATAGATGTTGGAAAAATAATTCAGAGATTTGGAGTGGCATGGGATTAATTAGGGAAATAATATTGTTTTTATATTACAAATAAAGTTGTCCACAGTTAAAATCTAATTTGGTAAATTTATCAACAGTTTTCGATGATTTTGCTTTGATTTTTTTGTCATTTTAGGATTAAATTTTAAAAAATTAAAAGTACATAGATGAAATGAAAATTTATAAAAAAAAATTGATTATAGTAAAATAAAGGATAAATTGCAGTTTAGTCATCAATCTATTCTTGCGATTCCATTTTGGTCATTAAACTATTTTTTTTCAAAACCATTCTTAACATTACATTTTGGTTCCGTTTTGGTCACTCGCCGTTAAGAAATTAACAACAATGTTGTCGTGTCATCATTAAAAAAATTATCACGTCAATAGTTATGTTTATTTTTTAACAATAGGTGATTAAAACATAACCAAAACGTAACGTTAAGTATGGTTTTGAAAAAAATGTTAGTTGAGTGACCAAAACAAAATCGTGAAGACAGGTGGGTGATTAAGTACATAGTTTACCCTGAAATAAAATATTGAATTTAAAGAAGGTGCCAAAATTTAATCTACTTTCATTTTTTAACAACATAATTTCAAAATGCAAAAGAAAAGAAATGAGTAAATCGTCGGTAATTTTCTCAAAAGCGTGCTCATCAGTAAATTATTTTACTAATAATTATAAAATTCATATTATTTGCTTAAATAATTTCTTATAATCCTTGTTTTCACAATTTCTTATCATCTATTTGTAAAACAGAGACAAGGTAGTGTTTTTTTTCTTTGTTCATATATAACCTAAGCCAGTAAGCTAAGCATAGAAGTTGAATGCATTTATAAATAGGATATTTACCTGTGAAATAATACGTTGTCGAATAAGATGATGATGAGGAGAAGATTCAGAACCCTGTGGTACCACAGCAGATCCATGAGCATGTCCATGAGTGGCATGCGTATGAACATGAACATGTCCCTCATGGTCCCCCGTCATCTCCTCGTCCCCATTCACCGGCAAAGCCTTGTTGAAATGCGACTTCTTGTATAAACTCGTCGCGAACGTGTCGATCATCATCGTGGCTATGGCCGAAACCATGGCGAGAAACCCGGAGAAAGGGAAAACACCCCAAGGCTTTTCGCTGAGGCAAGGGCTGGACAAGGACTCGTATCCGTCGGGGAGTATATGGACGAAGGCGGTGGCGAGAATCACACCGGCAGCGAATGCTTTGATCAGGAAGAAGACGTTGTTTTCCGGTCGAAACGTCGGGATCTTCTTGGCGAGAATCGGGAGCGAAACGCCGAGGGCACCGGCCATCAAGATCGATGCGATGGCGACGAGTTTGTATTTCAAAGCCTTGGTTCTGTTGCTGGCATCGTGACGAGGAAGCAGCTCGTCGTCACAGGTACAGTCTGCAGAAACCATGGAAGGAAGATAAAGAAGGCAAAGAAAGAGAGAACAGAGCAAAGTGTGCTTCTTCATTCGTAAATTTTAGAGAAATTAAGAAAGAGATGGTAAGTTGGTGTTGTAGGGTGCGACCTGAAGTTGAATTTATAAGGGTTGGTCCGAGAGATACGTATAATTCGAGTCGGAAAAATGATTGAGATTAATAATAAAAGTACTAGGAACATGAATAAATAATTAATTATATGCAGACATGAACTAAAAGGTGGATAGGAATAAATAGGTAAAATTTTCGAGATAATGTTTTAGAAAAAATTAATTCACGAGATAAAGCACTCTCAAGATTAATTGTTCAAATAAAGTGAAATCCACAGTGTTGGTCGTAGGTCGCTATGCCTTTCGGGCGACCTACTAGTCTTCCCGACGAGCTAAAAGAGATTGCATATGCCATGCACGTCCCAACACGCTGGGCATCCGAGGCCATCCGACTGAGGCCATCCGACCGAGGCCATCCGAGAGCATCCGAGGTCATCCGACCGAGGCCATCCGAACGAACTATGCGAGGGCAACCGAGCGAGCTATGCGAGGGAATCCGAGGGAAGCCGAGCGAGGGTAGGTCGCCCGGAGTGCATGGCGACCTACAAGGTCGCCCGGAGGACATGGCGACCTATGTGTTGGGACGTGCGTGTGCCATGCAACACGTTTATTCTCTCTGTTTGAACAAGGGTAGGTCGCCTGGAGTGCATGGCAACCTACAAGGTCGCCCGGAGTGCATGGCGACCTACGGCCAACACTGTAGATTTCACCATATTTGAACAATTAATCTTGGGAGTGCATTAGCTCGTGAATTAATTTCTTTCAGAATATTATCTCGAAAGTTTTGCCGGAATAAAACGTCTTCTAATTTTTTTAAATTTTTATATATTTTATATTATTTTTATAAATGAACTATTCTTATCTCTTATAATTCTTACGAGAAACTCTTATAAATTTATCATTTCTCATAAATTCATGTATCGGTCTACGATTATATATGTTATGAACTTATTATTATATTTAAAATGGAGTATAAGTATAATTTTATATATAGAATGAGAAAGAATGCTCAAATTGTGCACCCAATTGGGTACCAGGAAAGAAACAAATTGTAAAGATGCTGGAAATGGCGACATGCAACTCCATGCAGGGAGCATGAGAGAGTGTTTGGTGGTGACAAGTGTATGGTAAGTGTACTGAATGACGACATTATGAGAAATCCGAATCATTTAATTAATTAAAATTAAATAGATCAAATGCCTTTAATTATTAAATTCTATTGTCTTTATGCTCTTTTTAGACGGCTGATCACTCATCAATCACATCACCCACTCACTCACTAGGATTTTCTTTGTTTTTTTTTTCGATCGGGACACACTAGGATTTTCAATATTATGGTTTTGGATTGTTTTTTTGTGTGTGGATAAAGTGCTTTTTTAGTCTTTATTATTTTTTCACATTTATCTTAAATTTGGTACGTCTTTTTTCCACTTTTATTTCTTGGGTAAACTATCAATTTAGTCACTCATCTATCACTTCGATTTTGTTTTGGTCAACTTTTTAAAAATCATACTTAAAATTACGTTTTGATTTTATTTTGGTAGGTTGTTGTTAAAGAATAAACAAAACTTTTAACGTGGTAATTGATTTTCATTTTTTAATGATGATGATCACATTTAATTTTTTAATAAAAGGTATCAAAATAGAACTAAAATATAACTCCAGGCATGATATTGAAAAATAATAATTATTAAGTAACTAAAATAGAACCAAAGTGATAGTTCAGTGATTAAATTCGTAATTTATGTTATTTCTTTCTATAATATGCCATTCTAAGCTTAGGCTGTTGGTAGTTTGGTACCAAATTTGTCTGGCCCGAAAACCAACCCCCCCTAAAACTCTACCAAGCCCAACTCCTACGGGCCTAAAACGGAAACTCTCATTCAATCTCAACTCAATTAATATATTTTTAAACCCGAAGGATCCATTCAACAATCAATTAATCCTCTTCTACTTAACATCTCCTCTGAAAGCTAGGAAGGGAGAAGTTCTACCGTGTGGTAGCTTTTATATACGGTTAAGAAAATGATTTATTAGTTTTGTTATTATTTTTTTAATAAAATCGATAAAAAAATTATTTAAAAAACTATTATTTCTATCTAAAACATTAATGTTTTTTAACATTTCCGGTAAAGTTCCCAATAATAACAAAACCGATAGAAAAAATAACAAAACCGGTAGCGCTTTATCGGATATGTTAACAAAACCGGTAAAGCTCCCAGTTATAACAAAACCGGTAGAAATAATAATGTTTCCAGTAATTTTTTACCGGTTTTGTTAAAAAAAATAACAAAACCGGTAACGCCTTTCCTTAACCGTATTTTAAGACTGTCGCACGTGAGATTTTTCCTAGGGGGATGGACACCCCACGGGACGAGGCGGTATTTTAACCGTTTTGATGTTGCCTTGAAAATATATTGTTTATATTTAATCTTGTGTCTCGATAAATACTAGTTTTTTTTCTTATCTCGAACTTGTTCTAATTTTTAGATTAAAAGTCTGATTTTGATATGATTCGACCCGACTCAAATATATTAATATTTTAAAATAATTAAAATGATATATTTTATAATTATATATTTTAAATGATTATAATAATATATATTTTACTACATTTTTTGAAAACAAAAGGGGAAAAAACCGAAACCTAAGCTACATCAGTATTAGATAGCATGTCTTGGATAGCAGCTGAGAGTATCCATAGTTGCCCAAAGGGAGGAACCAAGCTAATTTATACTGGGTATGGTCTGGTCTAGGAGTGTAAACGAGCCGAGTCGAACTCGAGTATTGCTAAGATCGACTCGATTCGAAAACTCGCGAACTTAAAATTATCAAACTCGACTCGAACTCAAAATATAATATTAAAACTCGACTTGAACTCAAAAAAACTCGAACTCAAAAAAAAATTAAGAGCTCAATTGAAACTCAATTGAAACTCGATTCAAGCTCGATTCAAGCTCGAATTGCCCCTAGCGTAAATATGTTTTAAACTTGTGTATCCCTCTCCTTTTATAATAGACTCAAGATTTCTAGAGCTATTCACCAACCGATGTGGGATTTGGCCAGTTGAAATATCACTGCAACTACGTTGTCAATAGTTATTTCCAACGATACGGTCAAGCTCAAGGTAGCTGTGATTTTTCAGGCACTGTAGCTGTTAGCCCCAATCCTCCTCCAAGTAAGTCTCTCGAAGCACTTTCTTCCTTCCATTTTTTGGGTTTCCCTAACCTTTTTCATGTGTAATTTGCAGATGTTGCTTCAACTTGCAGCTTTCCCTCAAGGTATGTTTTCATGGAAGTTTTTCCCTCATGAACTATTCTCTCTGGTGTTTTCATACTTTCAATCTTTCTTTTGGGAAAAGCATCATTGTTTATGCAAATGAGCTGCCATGATGTTGAAATTTCTAAAGTTATTTGTCTTTTTTGACATTACTTTTTGGTTTTGCAGTAGCACAGGGGCAAACACAGGCACCACACCAACCGAGACAACCACCACCGGGTCAACCACCAATGGCTCAACCACAGGGATTCCAACCACCGTGTTTGGTGGTACGAGGATAACACTGGGTCCGACGGGGACCACAAGCATCAATGATCCAAGCAGTGCTATGGGTCTCTTCACTAACAACTTGTTTTGCACTTTTGTTGCTACGACAACCCTCTGGATTTTAGGGTCATCTTGGCTTTGAATTGAAGAAAAAAGGGGGGTTGAAAAGGGATTTTTGATGGGATTATGGTGTAATATTAACCATTGGTGTGTGCTTAATGATGGGAGCATCTATTAGTGACAATGACAAATCCCCCACCACTGCCATCTTCTTCATCTTCATCTTTTGTATATTTAAAGAGACTACTTTTTATATTTAATGAAAATTTGTTTAATAAATTATATAAATGCACTTTGTTTATTTCAAGCTTTAACAAGTAAATGTACGTTGCATGGCTTTAAATTATACATAACACCAAAAGTAAATGATCATTTAATTAACCTGAATTGTTTATTTAATGGTTCTATTAATTAACCAATTAAATAGAATGATTACAGATTTTTTAACACCCCTATATATATATATATCCCAACATCCCAACACTTCATCGTTCAATCAATTTCATTTAAAATTTCAAAAAAATTGGTAAAACTAGTAATTTTGTATTTAATTTATTATCAATGTAATTAATATATCATATTTTATTCGATATGATCACTTGATTGTTAAGTATCTAATGCCATTATTAAAATGTTGTGCTTTAAGCCTTTTTATTTTTTATTTTTTTTAAATTTTAATATTCTTCTTTCTATAATCGATATTATTTTTCAATGTTGTTCAAACTCTAAATCATAAATCCTAAACTCTAAATTATAAACCCTAAACTATAGACCCTAAACTCTAACCCTTAAACCTTAAACCTTAAACCCTAAACTCTATCACATAATTAGAAGGAATGAGATGACTTAGTGAAAGGAAAGAGAGTAACTTATTTTTCTTTTGCTTTATGAAGAACAAAAATCTAATAAGAAGTTTCAGTCTTTTTGTTTTTGCTTCTCTTCTCTTCTTAGTCTTCTCTTTATTTACTGTTTTGATTTTCCAACTCTGTAATTATTATTTTTTTTTAAAGTAGAATATAGTAATGCATATATATATGTTTTGTTTTATTTTATATGGTACAAGTTAGTAGTAGGGATTATAGATGATCATTTTCTCTCAAATATGTTTTGATGCCATTAATTTTGTTAATTAAGATGTTAATATAAGTTTAAATGAGTTTTTTCTTTCTTAATTCTTTATAAAATCGGTTACACTATATTTTGATATATATATTTAAATTATTAATATTTAAATTGAATCATATTTTTATTATATTATATTATATTTATTGTCAAATAAAAAATTAGTTATGAGGTAATTACAATATAATATATTGATATTAAATACACAAACCCTTGATATTTATGATATTTGAACCTGAAACCTCAAAATATAACAACAATTTAAAAAATTAGTTATTAAAAATATTATCATTAGAAATATATTAAATATTTGTAGTTAGATAAATATTTTTTTTATTAATATGTGCAGTAAAAAGAAAAAAATCAACCAAACACGTGTAATATAACATGTGCTTAATTAAATGAGCTTTTATTTTTTTTAGTAATATACAATGTAATAATTGGACTTTGACTGGTTAATTAAAGAAATTAAAATTTGAGGGTAGGTGTACTATATAATTTTTAATATATTTTTAAAATTTTATAATCATCAATAATTTATTTTTAATATATTTTTAATAATGTAATTTAAAAAAATTTAAAAATATAATATAATATTTTTTTCGAGCTGCTCACGAGCTTTTCGAGTCGAATATCGAGTAGCTCGTTTCGGTTCGTTAAGAACTCGAGTCGAGTCCATTTAATCCGAGTATTTATCGAGCCTTGATCCAGTCGATCTCGAGTAGCTCGCGATCTGTCTCGTCTCATTTACTGACCTAGTCGGGTTAATGTTTTCTTCTTCTTTAAATTTAGCTCCATCCTACTTTGATCCTATTTACTATATAACATGTATCGTCTTTTTAAAAAAAATCGCTTTTATAGGATCGTGTTAAGATCTGTCGAGTTCAAATATTTTGACTATCTCTATTGAAAGCAAACTATTCAGTTTTGGTGGTTTTCGACGATCAATGTTTTCATTCGTGAATTTGAACAATAAAAAAAATGAAATCAACAAAAAGGACAACATACGTCAATTTTATTCCGATCAAGTGACAGAAAAACAAGATCGACGAAAAAGAATTCAAATAATTTTAATTTATATTTACAAGTTTTAGGATCATTTTGAGTTAATTTAGTACTGAAATCATACCTTTTTTTTTTTTTGAAAATACTGTAATCATACTTGAAAGAGGAAAGGAGTGGTCTTTTTTTTTTGTCTTGACGATAATAATTTGAGTATTGATTATCGATAGCCAATATTCATTATTTTTTTCCTATATCACATGTTTGTTTGTTTTCTTAATTTCTAATGACTTTATATTTATGGCACGTTTCAACTTTTTTATTGCTTTTTGGTTGATCTCATCGTTTAATTTTCTCAATATTAGATTTGACATCACATCGACTGATTAAGATGTCGCTTATATATTATCTTGTTGATTTGTCATGCTTTGGATCTCTAGATTAATTTGAATATACGATTTACTTTCGGAGATAGTTTTCTCACGCCGCTCGACTCCGATTCGCAATTTTAGGTGGTATTTTAATAACTTCACTCTCTGTTGTGATTCGTTTTATTTCGGTAACTTCACAATTTTCTATTCACATATGTATTTTATTCATTTTTTTAGATGTGATTTTAATTTTTTCTCTATATGGTCCTTATATGATTTTAAATGATTAGTTTTATATTAATGATAAGAAATATTATAATTATGTATTTAATTTATACTTATAGTTATAAATCATAATTATAGTTTTAGATTTTTTTTAAATAAAATTAACTGCTACTATTTCTATAAAAAAAATTGAGTCGCTGCGGGGTTTTGATTTTAATAGTAGTATCACGAGTAACAGGAAAACTTAAAATTATTAATTTAATAAATAAAATATTAAATATATTTGATTTTATTTTGTAATAATAATAATAATAATAGTTTATGTAAATTTAAAATTTTAAAATTAAATTAAGTACGGTTGATCGAATCAATTTTCAGATTCAAATTAAATGCATAGACTTTACCATTGTACATACTTTCATGCATTTATTCGTGGTAGGTACCGAGTAATAAATGAAGAAAGTTTAAAGCATATGAAGAAATGTCCTAAAACTTCCCAACCGCCCTTGACCCAACCAGGTAAACCCATTCTGCCGCCGTGTCTCCCTCCGCCGGTCCGGTCTTTGCAATGCAAATTGCTCTATCGGTCTTTGGTACAGACTCAGAACAACCGTAGAAATACAGAAAGCCAGTCCCTTACAAGCCAAGCCTAGCATTTATTTTTTCTGTTCTTTAAATATCTACTTTTTCTTGTCTCATTTAACATTCCCATCTACTCCTTACTTCAACCATACCCCCTACCTCTCTTTCTAGCAAATACTTTTTCTCTGTTTGGTTGCTGAGAAACCCTGCGAAAATGAATTGAAAATTGGATTCTCTAAACTGTGGGTGTCTTCTATATACTCATTTACTAAATCCAGAAGAACCCAGAATTTTGTTTTCCTGCTTTGGTCTCTCAGCTTTTCCTTGTACCTGCACATAAAGTATTAGGGCTCCTTAGGGGAGTTCTGAATGATAAGTTTTTTGCTATTTGGCTTTGGAGGTTAGTATATATTTTTCCTTGTTGATTGAATTACTTTAATCCTCTGCCATATTGCTTAGCCTTTTCAATGCATCTTCATTTATTTCTTTCCATAACCCACATTTTTTGCTATGTATAACGTGTTTGATATTTTTTGTGTGTTTAATTGTGACCAATTCGTTAAAGCTTGATTGGTAAGGGACCAATTTGATAGTTTTGATATTTTTGTTTTGCCTGTTTCTAGGATTAAAGGGAGTTTTGTGATGGCTGTGAAGCTTGTGCGTCTGCAATTTGTTCTCTTAGTTTCTTCTTTTGCTGTCCTGCTTATGGCTTCGGACACTGTAAGATTGTACAATCTTATCTTTTGCAGAAATGAAAATACCTGTATTCAGAATATGAAGGTTTCCTTTTGGTGTGCCAGGCCTCCAATGGATCGGTTGCGACATTTAATTATTCTTCCAAGCATGAAGGTAATGAAGGTGCTGGATTTGCACATTTGCTTGTCGAATTTGTTAATCTTCGGTTGTAAACATCGACGATTTTGTTGATTAAGCTCTTTTATTTTGTTGGGTCATGTAGCAGCAGGATGCCCTTCTGGTTGGGTTGTTTCTCCAAATAAAAGTGTGTGTTTTGGATACGATGAAAGTTTCCAGTCATGGGATGAATCAGAGATCCACTGTAAACAATATCGTGGACACTTAGCGGCCCTAACATCGTACGAAGAACTAAGCTTTGCACAACATCTGTGGCCAATTTGTCGATGGTTGCTGGGTTGGAGGAAGAATTAGCAATTCGACGGTTGGTTCTGGTTGGAAATGGTCTGATAATACATTGCTCTGGAATGAATCAGCTCTTAGATTACCTGCTCAATCCATTTGCAACAAATCATCATGCTATGTCGACAATTCATTCGATTTATGTACATTGGTGAAGAATGGATCGGAACCTCTTGTGAGTGTGAGATGCAATGCGTCTCATGCTTTTCTGTGCATGGTTGATATCGGTAAGATATATGGTTGTTTTATATTTTTCCGGAGTAGTTGCTCGATAGTGGTCTTGTCACCCTATTAAGTTGTTATATAGATCTTTCCGTTCTACTATACGTAAGACCCTTTTTTTTCGTTATTAGATTATATTTTCTGGATTGCAGAGGAAAAATGTCACTACATGCATTGCCATAAGGAATATCTCATTATCCTAGCCATTGTTAGTGGGTTGGTTCTCTGCACAACATTTGCTGTTGTTGTTTGGTTGCTTGCATATAAGCGGAGTAAGAGGCGTAGAAGATCGAAGAAACTATCTAATCCTGCCACTTCTGCATTAGTTCCCCCCTCATGGAAAATCTTCACCATTGATGAATTGAGGTCGATCACGAAAAACTTCAGTGAAGGAAATAGGCTTCATGGGGATGCGAAGACAGGTGGTACATATAGCGGCCTTCTGCCTGATGGATCAAAGGTAGCGGTTAAGAGGTTGAAGAGATCTAATTTTCAGAGGAAAAAGGAGTTCTACTCCGAAATTGGTAGGGTCGCTAGGCTTCGTCACCCAAATTTAGTTGCTGTGAAAGGATGCTGCTACGACCATGGCAATCGCTACATCGTGTATGAGTTTATTGTAAATGGACCATTGGATAGATGGCTATACCACATTCCAAGGGGTGGTAGGAGCTTGGATTGGACCATGAGGATCAAAATTGCTACAACTCTTGCCCAGGGAATTGCGTGAGTACAAACACTAGATCTTTCTCGGTTAAGTGGGACTGTAATAGATACTTTCGGCATCTCATTGCTGCTTTTGCTTATTTGATTATTCCTGGTAATAAGTGTCTAACATGTTAATATTTTGAAACAGGTTCCTGCATGACAAGGTCAAGCCACATGTTGTACACCGGGATATACGTGCGAGCAACGTACTACTCGATGAAGAGTTTGTAGCCCATCTGATGGGGGTTGGTCTTTCAAAGATTGTTCCACTGGAGGTAATGCATGAGAGGACTGTGATGGCCGGTGGAACGTATGGATACCTTGCCCCCGAGTTTGTTTATAGGAATGAGCTCACAACAAAGAGTGATGTGTATAGCTTCGGAGTGTTGCTGCTCGAAATCGTTAGTGGGCGTAGGCCGGCTCAGCAAGTTGATTCAGTCGGATGGCAGAGCATATTTGAATGGGCAACACCTTTAGTGCAGGCACATCGATATCCAGAGCTCTTGGATCCTCCCATATCTTCATCAACTTCTGATATTCCAGAAGCTAGTGATATTCAGAAGGTGGTGGACCTCGTGTATGCTTGCACGCAAAATGTCCCTTCTATGCGGCCGAGAATGTCTCATGTTGTTCATCAATTGCAGCAGTTGGCACAGCCAGCCGTCGCAAAGTAACTTAATTTATTTCCAGCTCCGGGGCTTTTTGCCGGAGCTTAATTTTCTTAGTAATAGTTTAGAGCTACCTCAATTTTAGTAAAAACTAATTCCAATTGAAGACACGTATTTTGCGCTGTTGAAAATGGTTAAAGAAGATATTGTCAATGTTACAAAAGATAACTGTTTCTGTATGACAACGTCTACTGGTTATATATCAATCAATATAAATAAGAATTCACAAATCCCTCTTGTTTATCAATTTACCCAGCAACTTCTGCCACCCAGAAACAACAATGAATTCAACGTTTGGCCTAACCTTTGCCATGCCAGGTAAATTAAATCAACAAGCTTACTTGGGGATATCGGTAACATATTCTCCTTTGCTCCAACATCTTTTCATTTAAGATGGATGTGACTAGTACCAGCAGTCTGCCACATCGTTCGGTTGTTGTAACTGCGGCTTAGTACTAGGGGGTCCTGATGTTTTAGGATATCCTCTGAATCGGCCTTTCCCAGGTTTTGCTATTTCAACATATATCTTCCTGCCATCAAATACCTGACAAACATAAAACCCATATTAAAATCTAAGTAGAAATGTTGCCTGCAGATCAAAGTTATATTACTCAGAATTTCATCTGGGTTCTCAAATTCAGATCATAAAAGTAAGTTTGATGAACTAAGAGTTGTAAACAGTAGTAGCTTAACAGTAAAGGAACCTATTCATCTTGTAAAGAGAACTAGAATCTCTGAAATTATGCTTCACTCAAAGGGATGACAGAAGGTAGGTGTAATCTACGAATGATCTACAAATAGTATTCTATATGTCTGCTTTTACGATACGAGCAAGTTGGCAATAAAGAAATAAAGGCAACATGAAACCTGTGATCCATCTCGACCATAGCCTCATCCAGAGAGAAGTATATTGAATGAAAGCATATCCTTTTGATCTTTTTGTGAATTCATCCTTAACAAGCTTAACTGTTATAGATAGAAGTATGGTTATAGACTTTGAAGCTCACACAAGATTGGAGATGAAACATATCATCCATTAATTCCATTTAACTATGAGAAATGTCCCTATCACCTTCAGCTATTTCGCCAAAATTGGAAAATTCCTTCTGCAAACGCCTTTCTTTGGTAGAATATGGCAAATCTAAAGCAAATACACCCAAAAGATGCCAGGACATAAATTAGGGAAAGACTGAAAAATACAAGAGCAAAGAATATCTGATGGAACTATTGCTATCTACTTATCTTCTTGTAATAGCATCAATGAATCTAATTCGACTAAAACGAAGCTAGGAATTGATGGTTTTGTTCCAATTTTTCCTCTCAATAATGGATTCCACCATCACAAACAAATCTACTAAGCTCTTTCCAGTTGTTTTGGTATACATAGTGGAAAAAACTAGTAAAATCGCAATATTGCCAACAATCTTTCCAAACCTGCATTATTTATTGGAAAATTACTCTTAATTTGCATACCCTTATATGAGAAACAATACGAAAAGTTCGATGCAAAGACAAAGAGGGATCTCCTCTAGGGATGTAAACGAGTTGAGTTAATCTCGAGTATTGTTGAGCTTGACTCGAAAGCTCAAGAGCTTGACTCGAAAGCTCAAGAGCTTGAAATTGTCAAGCTAAAAAAAATTTGAACTCAAAATTTTCAGACTTAGCTCGAATTCGAACTCAATTTAAGCTCGAACCTGAACCTGAAGTACATGAAAACTTTGTATTATATATTTTTTAAAACAACACATATATGTTAATATTATTAATAATTTAATTGAAAAAATAAAATAAAATATATTACTTTTTTCGATTTGATCACGAACTTATCAAGTTAGATATCAAATAACTCACTTCGATTCGTTTAGAACTAGAGTTAAGCTCAAATCAAGTCATTTGATTTGAGTGTTGACCGAACTTTGACCGAGTCAAACTCGAATAGATTAAAATTGTATGTCGTCATTTACAACCCTAATTCCTCACCGACTCGAAAGCTCAAGAGCTTGACTCGAAAGCTCAAGAGCTTGAAATTGTCAAGCTAAAAAAAATTTGAACTCAAAATTTTCAGACTTAGCTCGAATTCGAACTCAATTTAAGCTCGAACCTGAACCTGAAGTACATGAAAACTTTGTATTATATATTTTTTAAAACAACACATATATGTTAATATTATTAATAATTTAATTGAAAAAATAAAATAAAATATATTTTTTTCGATTTGATCACGAACTTATCAAGTTAGATATCAAATAACTCACTTCGATTCGTTTAGAACTAGAGTTAAGCTCAAATCAAGTCATTTGATTTGAGTGTTGACCGAACTTTGACCGAGTCAAACTCGAATAGATTAAAATTTGTATGTCGTCTCATTTACAACCCTAATCTCCTCACCGAAGTCAATTCTCTTGCTTAATAAGGATGTATTTGTTTCTACACAAAATCTGATTTCCGAAATTGCAAAATCAGCCTATAGAGCTATTCTTATTCCTAAACCTTTTTGCCTAGATTTTTATCATCAGAGGAACAAAAACAATCAATATTCATGATAACAGATAAGAGGTATATCCTGATGGCATGTGCTTAAAAAGAAAAGCTATTTGACAGCAATTACTCAAATTTTGGGAAAAGAAAGCAAAATTACAAGTAGGAACAAAAACAATCAATATTCATGATAACAGTTAAGGGTTTTACTCGTAACGAAGATTCTGCTAGCAAGAGGATAGTCAAAGAGCGATGCTCTTAGGCCGAGGTTGAAGCTTTTACGTGTTCGACAATTTGCCGAAACCGCAATCTGACGAACTAAAACGCTGCGTTTCCATACGACTCGTAATCATTTCTTATTAATTAATTAAAAGGTAAATTACCTGTGTAGTCACTAAACTATAGGATAGCTTCTGACATCACTACTACCACCCACGATATCGATATTATTTGTTTGAATAAACAATAAATTGATTATTATAGTAGCGAGTTTAAATAAACGTGATAAATTTTATTCGAATTAATTTATTCGATTTGAGATTTTATATAGATTAAACTCAAAATAAATTGAACTGAATTAAAATTAATCTAAGTTTAAGTTGGACCAACATGGATCCATACTCAACTGAAAACAAGTTGAGTGGACTTGAATTTAATTTTTTTAAATTCAATTCAAATTTAACATTATTTCGAATTTAATATGACAATTAAGTTGAAATGAACTAATAGTTTATTTTTATTTTTATCTATTTTATAATTATATGATAAATAATAAAATAATATACATTTTATTTTCCTTTTGTATTATATTAATAATTAATCGTCATATTTGATAACAATTTAATGATTCAATAATATTATATTACTAATTAACCATCATTTTTAATTTAATTGGAGTCATATCAAACTCAACGCGAATTAACTTGAAAATTTAAAAGTTGAGCAAAATAAAAACTAATCAATTTGATATTTATTTGAATATAAAAAGTAGACCGATTTGATATTGACTTACCCGAAAATTAATTAATCCAATGTTAACTTAACCTAATATCCGATTTGATTAAATTTATTAAGGATATAAATTAAATCTATTTAGATCTGCTCTAAAAAAACTTAAATCAAATACAATTTAAGTTTAAAATAACTCGATTGCGAGCAGTGTTTTGAAAATCGGACCGGATCGGCCGGTTCAACTGGGAACCGCTGTTTGGCCGGGTTCATTCTACACCGGCTAAACCGCTACTAGTGAACCGAAAGAAATCGTTGAACCGGCTGTGAACCGTTTGAACCGAACCGGACCATGAACCGATTGAAAATCGGTATTCTGTTTTTTTTTCTAAAAAAAAATTAAATCAAACGACGTCGTTTGTTAAACGAGCTGAATCGAACTTGAGTATTGCTGAGCTCGACTCGAACTCGAAAACTTTAAAAGTAAGCTCAACTCGACTCAAAAACTCACGAGCTAAAAGTTATCAAGTTCAACTCGAACTCGAAATATAATATTGAAACTTGAACTCAAAAAGGCTCGAACTAAAAAAAAATTAGAACCTCGATTGAAGCCTGAAATTCGAGCTCGATTGAAGCGAAATAATAGTTCGCTCTGTGCTCACCAAAATGTTCTATGATTTTGAATGTCAAATTACCTTTATTATTTATAGAAGTCAGTTGGGATGCTCTTCTATATTTCTTAGCCATGTGAGATTGTTTTGTTTTTATATATTTTTACTCTTTAAACTTTTGTAATCCTCTTCTATGTTTCTTAGCCCTGCGAGATTTTTTTTAAACCAAACGACATCGTTTGTTATGATTTTTAGCCCTAAATTTATTTTTTGATTATAATTATATAGTTATATTTATTATTTAATATGTTTTACCTTAAATATTATGTTGTAGTTGATTTAAATCATTTTGTTTCACTTAATTTTATGGTTTTTAACTTATATATATTATGAATTTATTTGAATATGATTTGTGATATAAAAAATTATTTTTTATAAAAAATGTTTTTGGTATTTTTATTAATTTTTTTAAATAATTAATTAATTATGACGTCGATCAGTTCTTCCAACCAATCTAATCGGTTCAATCAGTTGAACCAATAAATCGATAACACGACCGGTTCGCTTACCGGTCCGATTTTAAAAACATGATTGCGGGCTCTGAATTTAAACAACCATAAATTTTAGTAAGCATTCTTGCCTTTCAGATCTAAATTGGGAACCGATGTGTTTTTGGGTTATATTTGGGTGAAAGCCGCCTCTCCTCCTGGGCTATTGGGCTCCTGAGGAGCATTTTTTTTTTGTATTAATGATTCGTTGAAGCCATAAAACTACAACCCCTAAGTGATGAAACGCTCGATTCCAAAAACCCCCAAGTGCTTCTCATCTTATGCATTCTGCAATCATCACCACCGCAAACACCCAACAGGACTCGTATCTACAGAAGAACAACAAAAAATAAGCACAGCCAAGTAAATAGGAACCGATGAATACAACAAAAAGGGCTTTGAGAGCTCTCACGTATCTTACTTCTCTTCACACTTCCCGAGTCCATAGTTTCCACTGCCAGCAGCAGCAGAAGCATCATCATCTTTTATTTGTTCGTTTGCTTTCAGCCCAATCCCAGCAACGCCAAGATGATTCCGACGACTCCCACCACTCTTACCTCAACAACAGCCCCGATTCTGTCTTCGACAGTGCCCAATTCTCTATCCCTGATACACCAAAACCTACTCGCGAACAACCGACATGGGATGTCCAACATAGAAAACGAATAGAGCGTGGATTATTCAAAAACGACATCCAAGACCGCTACTTTAAAGTAGAGGACGAGGAAGAGGAGAGAAGAAGAAGGGTTCTTGCCAAGGCTTTGCTCGAGGCAGCCTTGGAGGGGCCGGACGAGGACGCCGAACAAGACCTAGAGGTCAAGGAAGAGGACCAGAAGTCTCTCTCCGTTGGGATTATTGGCGCCCCTAATGCCGGGAAGTCGGCCCTTACTAATTTTATGGTTTGTTCATTAGCCCTTTCTATTTGGAGATTAGTTCATTAATTCGTATCGGAACTAATTAAATGTCTGATGTGTTTTCCAAAAGGTTGGGACTAAGGTTGCTGCTGTGTCACGGAAAACGAATACAACTACTCATGAAGTGTTAGGGGTCATGACCAAAGGGGATACCCAAATTGTATGTTTCTTTTTCATTTATTTCTATTAATATGCTTTGGCTACTTTTTGGGTTGATAAAGTTCTAATCTTTACTAATTTAGTTTCCCTTACAAGTGTTTTTCACCTCTCTGTTTACTCATTTGTGACATACAATACACTCTGTTTTACTATAGGACAGAATAATATTTGTACAATTTGTTTTACTTTTAAGAATTTTACAGGTTTCATAACTTGTTATTGAGACTTATTGATACCAAGTTTGGAATTAAATTTCAGAACTTGGATTGTGAGAATTCCCTTTTTACTTTTCTGGGCTCCTGGGAGTTCATGTGTGGGGAACGCATTTTTTACCCTTACTTTATTGTTGTAATGCTCTTTAGGAATATCATTCTACTAATTTCAAGCATGCATTATGCAGTGTTTTTTTGATACCCCTGGACTGATGTTAAATAGCAGTGGACATCTTCACAAAGATATGAAGTTTCGTGTCGAGAGTGCCTGGAATTCAATTAATCTCTATGATGTACTCATAGTTATTTTTGACGTCAATAGGCATCTTACAAGGTTAGTGGTCCGATACACAGCTGATATTTTCATCTGTATTTACTTTTATATTAATTTTTCTGTTGGACAACTTATTTTTGATGTGCTTCTGAATTGGTTTATCATTGATTATTTCTTTTACTGCCCAACATATATTTTTGTTTATTTAACTTGATCCCAATTTTTCTCAGCTTCCCTTCTTCCAATTATTCCCCCTGCTTACTATGCTTCTTCATCTGGAGTGGTTGCCGATTCTATTAACTCTTAGTCTTCGGTGTGTGTTTTAAAATCCAGTGTAGTTCATAGCTTTTCTGTTACCATTTTGTCATCATTGTAGATTTAATTTTCCTTCGGTTAAGGGGGGGGGGACTTCAACTGAGATCTATCATCAGCCATCTGTTATCTGTAGACTACTACAGGTTCTTATCTTTGTGTGATTTTACTGAACTCTGTTCATGGGAGAAGCCTTTTTTGCTATCTTGTTAACAAAATAGTAATAGCAGGTTGATCTAACCTACTCCTAAAAGGATCAAGGTCTTCAAGGATGATACATTTGATGTTCTGGCTGGAACTTTGTGACTTAGAATGAATGATGAATGGTTGCGTACTATTTCTTGGTCAAGTAGTTTGGTATGCCATGAACATGATTAATGCTGTATTTTTTTGCTTTGGGTGTTGTATGCATCCACTAATAATGCAGGCAGTCTTCATCTTGTACTTCTGTGAGCTGCAAATAAGTTTTTTTCTTGGGCCTTCACCTTAGAAGTATATAAATAAGAAAGATTGTCCTCCTGATAATATCATAATTTATTATTTTTTTAGCATGAGATTGAAATGGCTTTTAGTATGTTCCTTCTGTAATGCTTGGTTTTCCATTTAAAAAAATTTAGTAATGAATTTTTTTACTGCTGTCATTTTAGCTAAACGAACACATATCCTCTTCAGTAATATACTTCATATGGACTCCACCCTCTTACTTACAAAATGTATAATATCTCCCCAATTTTTCTATCTTGTCAAATTTAATATACTGATCTCTTCATGTATACCTTATATCATAAAAATTTGGGCATTTCAGGTGTGTGGATGTTTGTTTGATGGTATAACATGGTCATTATGTTGTCTAAAGATTTTTATGTTATCTAATACCTTTTTAAATTTCTTGTCTAATGCTGAGGTTGTTTCCTTCATCTTGATTGCTGATCATGTATATAACAATTCATCCATACAGACCTGATTCAAGGGTGATAAAATTAATCAAACGTATGGGAGCTGAAGCAAGTCCTAAACAAACACGGATTTTATGCATGAATAAGGTAGATTTGGTAGAAAAAAAGAAGGATTTGTTGAAGGTTGCTGAGCAGTTCAAAAATCTTCCTGGCTATGAAAGGTAGCTTTTCATGCTGAAAGGAGTAGTAGCTCCTTTCAGGATATAAAAACCAAGCGTGCTTAAGTTAGCTTCTGATAACTTTATTTTATTTATTCTCCAGGGTTTTCATGATCTCAGGATTGAAGGGCTCTGGGGTAGAAGATCTTTCTCAATATCTCATGGAACAGGTTTCTTTTTTCACTTCTATGGAAAGTAATTATATTCTGTTATGTACTTGATACATACGATTTATTCTACTTATGCAAAGTATCTGGATTCTGTATTGCCTTTTGACATGGCATTGCGTAATATCTTTCTAGTTAACTAAGTTGTTCGTAAATATGTCTTCTCCCAAGATCATTTTAGCATGATGGTAAAGATATTCAAATGATATGTTGCCTCTGGGCTCTTCTGAAGGTGTGGTGTTATGTTTCTGTTACCAACTTTGTTTGTCAAAAGTCTATATCTTCATCCTCTGTTATGATTTTTCCTTATTCAACCTATTGTTTTGAAAAGGATTTATATGCATTTTTATTTCACATTGATTTGCTTAACTGGATGAATGGATAAAGAATAACATAGCCGGTGGTCATTAGGTACTGGGATCTGTCATTGCTCCATTTCTGCATTTTCCTACTTTTGGATTCATTTTTTACCTCGAGTCTGAATGGTAAAGCATTACATATTCCATTAGTAACTTCTTTGACAATAATACCTTCTTAGAATTGCCTAAGTTTTCTTCTGTGGAATGGTGGAGCTTGCCTAAGTTTTCTTCTTACCATTGCATGTCCTCTTTTCTTCTATAAAGTAACACAAATTATTCAGGATCACTGGCATTTTTTCCCTTAGGCAGTTAAAAGGCCTTGGGATGAAGATCCGTTTGCAATGAGTGAAGAAGTCATGAAGAATATTTCATTGGAAGTTGTCCGGGAAAGGTTACTAGATCATGTGCATCAGGTAAAACTTGCATGTTCGTCTATGACTTGACTTTTGATTCGTACTCTCTCGCGCTAGGTTTTTTCCCCTCCTTTTTCCTTTTCCTTCGAGGGGTGGCTGGAGAGTTCTGTAATGTTTTCAGATCACAAGGGCTAAAACTTTTCTTGCTCCAGGAAATCCCATACGGTATTGAACACCGTTTGGTAGACTGGAAGGAGTTACGAGATGGGTCTCTAAGGATTGAGCAGCACTTCATTACCGGTAAAATAAGCCAGCGAAAGATTCTCGTGGGGAAGAATGGCTCAAAAATAGGGTAAGCTAGTTATGTATCCAGTTAATTTCTTCTCAACGTTCCACTGGTATTTTGATCGCAGGCAACAGCGTCGCTCTGAAATCTGAATGCAATCTCACTATACAACTATTATTTGATGTAAAACACAGGAGAATTGGGATTGAAGCTAATGAGGAGCTAAGGTCTATCTTCAAAAGGGATGTGCATCTCATTCTTCAGGTTAGAGTTAAAACATAAACTCTGCGAAAATATCAAAGAATGTCCCGGACCGCACACATCTGCAATACCATCTGATGTGTATATACCAAGGGTAGGCAATGCAATTGTGCCATCTTTTCCCTAGGGTCTTAGGTACAATTGGGGGCCTTAACGTAAATTATCAAAAGATCCCAATTTTTTTGTCCTACAATGTGCTAAAATTGTGTAACCCAAAGTGTTGTATTCATGTCTGATTGCATGAAAGCTATAAGGTGAGGGATAATTTATTTAATTCAATTCCAACTAGTTTTTTGTTATTTTGTTGTTCTAAATAAAGATAATTCCTTATTTTTCATACCTTTTCCATGTCTATTTTAGTTCCTCCTCATTCTCCCTCGGTATTTGCCAAGATTTTGTGGAGACAAAATTGTTGTCTCGTGTTACAGTAACTAATGGTATTAAAGGGTAAAGTATTCAAATAGTCATCCAACTTTTGTTTAGTCATCATATTTAAGAGTCATTTTTCATTTCAGTTTGTACCGTTAAATTTCCAACAGCGCTTGATTTAACATATTATCTTCAGAATTTTCATTTCAATTCTGACGGTTAATTTTTAGCGTTTGATTTAATATTTTAAAACTTAAAAGAAAAGAATAGAATTTACATTTTGAAAGAATAAATACAAACGATTTATGGTCTAAAATTTTATTTAATAAAAAATTGATTCAAATTTCATAAACTCAAATAAATAGAATATATAATTTACTAAATATAATTATCTAAGATTTTAATAAATATATTTATTTTTATTCAAATTTTATAAATTTGATTCAATTTAAAAAATAAATAACATTTTAATTGTTAAATAATATTTATAAATTTAATTATTTCATATTTTTAAGATTCGCATGTGTGTGTATGAATGAATATACCTTTGGATGACCAGAAAGCAGGAAGAGAAGGCTTGTGAATAGAAAGGACAGACAAAACGAGAGAGAATCAGAGAGATGATCTTCCGTTGGACTAATTAATAATTTAGGGAGAATATATTCGTTAGAATGTGATACACTATTGGCCACAGTGAAGGGAAAAGCAAGAACAAAAGCTTCATACATCATGGCATGTTCAATACTAAACAGTACAACAGCTGCTAATTAAAAGGCCAACTAGCTTTAAAACCAGTGTCAATCAACTAAGTAGACTAATAACCGGTGTAGCAAGCCTAGGCTCATAAGCCAAACCACGCAATTCAACATCTTCACCATCATTATTATCACAGCCAAGGTAAGGGCATGCCGGAATCCACTGCCACCTCTTCCTACAGATATCAAACAGTAGCCCCTTATCGGTTCCACGAATCATTATCATTATGAATTCTCCATGTCCGACAGAATCAAAACCATTACCACCTTCAAGTTGAGCAAATTGCATGTAAAGTTGCATTGGCATTCTCTCGATTTCCACCCATGTCGTCCCACAATCTTGCAAGCCCCAAAGTCTTAAACTTTTGGGCACATTAAGCTTGCTTTTCTCCACGGCGGCGACAAGGACCAGCTTTCCTCGACTCTCAACCAGGCCCGGTGACCGGAGGAACCTTCGCATGGGAGCTTGAATCTTGGACCACTTGTTTGCTGCTATGTCGTAAGCTAGGACGCTGAAGGGGCTATAATTCATGCAGTAGAACTTACCCTCGACGTGAACCATTCGACCTGATTCAAGGCTACATAGGCGTGGCAGTGAAGAAGTGTCGCCCCATATGGAGTAAAACCCACCCTCATCGATGTGAAAGGTTTCAGTGGATAGATTCTTGACTGCGTATGGAGAAATCATGTCATCTCCGGCGACTGTAACGTCGATCGATGTGGGACTGACTGTTAAACCAATTGAAGGGAAGAGACGGGGCCTTAGCGTGGGCGGCAACTGGCTTAAAGAACCGAGTAAAGGGTTGAATATCATGATATTTTTTGTGCCGGCTTCGTCAGAAACCCAGCAAACCAACCCACAGGAGGAAGAAGCCGGATAGAATCCAGAAGGAACCGAGTTGAAAGAAAGGCGGTACCATGAAATATCATAGGGATCAAAGAGATACCCTTCACAGTTAGTTCTGTTGTCGTCCCCACTGGTGGTATTGTTGGTTCTGTAGATGTAGCTCTTCAATGGCTTATGCTTTAAGAACAGAAACCAATAGTGGCGTGGCGATATCTGCATGTACAGTTCAAGGAAGCTGCTGCAATAAAGGAGGCCGTACCATCTCTTACAAATGGAACGAGCTCGGAAAAAGGCTGGAGGTGGAAGAAACGCAATGACTCGATCGAGCAGCCTTTCTGGTAACTTACTCCATATCCGAACGTCCATCCAAGGATTCGTGTGAGTGCTGCTGGTAGTCGAACTACTGCTCGTGATGGTGAAAGTGTAGGAGAAAGGTAAAGGCGTAGATGTGTTAAAGGCGTCCATGAGAAACATAGAAAGCGCTTTCAAGCAATCTTTTTGCTGGTTGGTTAGTGGTTTTCAGAAGAAGAAAAAAAGGTTAGGACTTGATGGAGAAAGCTAGAAGACAACGAATAAGAAGAAATAAACGCTTTTGAAGTGTATTCATTTGGTTGGAGAGACAGCAGGTGTTTTTATATCATAGAAGTTTTAATTACAATGTAGGATAAACTATTAAGGTGACTTAATTATAAGTAAGTCAAATTTTACAGTTATAAATACATAATTATGATAAAATATTGTTATAAATAAATCACTTACAGTTAAATATTATATATGAATAATAACATAATTTGAAATAATAGTAACTTGTCTTTAAAATTTATATAATTTATCGATTTAATCATAATTAAAAAATATTAATATATTTAATCATTTATATTGAAAAGTTTCATCTTTTCCTAAAAATGTTATGTTGTTTCTATTAATTTTGTGACATAATAACAGTTTAACAACAATTTGTTGTTAGTTTATAACAAATATAATTATTTAATTATTATTTTGATCCGATGAACAACTTTACATAGATACTGATCCGTAAAAGAATCTCATATGGGGTGCATAAGAAATTATTTGTTGAGATAGTATGAATGTTAGAGTATCTATGGAAAATCACATAATATCCCAATAGTTTTACCAATCGGATGAGCTCGTTTGTTTTCATAGTATCGTTAAAAACATTAAATTGATTGGATTTTTAAATATGAATGATTAAATTTATTGAATTATTTTAAATTAATATAAAATTAATAGATTGCCTAAGTTTAAAATATTAAAACTATTATTATACCATACAACATTAGATGCCCGTTTGAAATTTAAAGACAAAATAGTATGTTTATAATAATATTTCAATTAGATGATATGTTTATAACTTTTAGACTTAATATAAAAATAAGTGTCGAAATTATATTTTATTTTTTATTTAGATACTTAATTTTTTTATCATTTTAAGTATTCCAATGTTATCATTTAATATTAAACATAATTAAGTCACCTTGGGTTTAGTTTACCCTGTAATTGATATATTTTGGTGTATGTTGTTGTCTTTAGTGTGACAGTGGCAGTAACTCTGATGGTTCCATCTATCTATTCAGTGTCACGTTTTGTTGTGAAGGGCAAGGAAGGAAGGACATTAGAGGTCCTTTTGGCTTTCCACTTGGCATTGATTTATTCAAAGGTCCCTTTTCCAACTAATGAATGAAGTGATAAGAGACCAGACCAGAAACAAGTCCTTGTTGTTGGTTTTTTTACGTATTGTCTAATCTGATTTCTTATGCTTCTACTATTTTGTCATCGATGCATCCTATAAATGGATAAAAGTGAAGTGATCAGATATGGAAATCCCTCGTCCTTCAAACAAAAATAAAACCTCTTTTTCTTTGCTGCTTGCCAGCCTTGGGTTCCGATGCTGTTTGCTCTCCCCTTTGCACTATTTTTTACATGCATTTGTTAAGTAAATGGCCATCCCCATGCATGCTTGTGCTTGAAACTTCAAACCTCTCTCTCTCTTCACGATGTTATTTAGGTCGGATTTAATTAGGTTTTAGTCCATTTAAATCTGATTTGATCCGAGTTAAGAAAGACTTCATCAAATTAAAAATTTGACGTGATTTTTAAGATAAAAATTTATACTATGAGCCAACTAGACATGAATATATTTATATAAAAACTCATTTTTATTAGATAAAATACGAATCTAATTTGAAAAATATAAAGAAAAGAGTATTATCGTAATTATTCCTAAAGATATAAAAGTCAATTATACTATTATTGTCGGATCGGGTTGGATTAAATCAAATAATTTATATCAAAACATACTAATGCATGAAAATTAATTACATTGTTTAATAAATATATCTACGGTCAACAATGTAACCACCCGTAAATCCTAAAAGTATTGTACCCTTTACGTTATGCATTTTTTAGTGAATGCTTGCAAGAACCTCTTACTGTCAAACGTCATCTTACTCCTACTAACAGTTGTTAATAACCCTTCATTAAAGTGGAAAGGCCTCAAAAGACACAAAAATAAACGTTCTTTAATAAATTTATTTTATGCTTTCAAGTCGACCATTCCAAGATGAATTATAATTGCTTGCTTTTCTCCACCGCGGCGACCAGGACCAGCTTTCCCCGACTCTCCACCAGGCCCGGTGACCGGAGGAATATTCGCACGGGAGCTTGAATCGTGGACAACTTGTTTGTTTCCATGTTATAAGCTAGGATGATGAAGGGGCTATAATTCATGCAATACAACTTACCGTCGACGTAAACCATTGGATCTGATTGAAGGCTACATAGGCGTGGAAAGGAAGAAGTGTAAAACCCACCCGCATCGATGTGAAAGCTTTCAGTGGATAGATTCTTGACTGCGTATGGAGAAATCACGTCATCTCCAGCTACTGTAACGTCAATCGACGTGGTGCTGACCGTTAAATCCTCTTGAAGGGAAGAGACGGGGCCTTAGCGTGAGAGAAACTTGCATAAAGAATATTATGGAGTAATTATAAATTAATATTTATTTATAATTATTTTAATATATAATAATACAAAATAACAGTTTGAATTCCATACTTTAAAAAAATATTTTTTTATCCTTAATGGGTTCACTGTATTTCAAAATAAAAGGTTTAATAGCATGATTTTTGTTTTGCTGTTTGTTGTTGTCTTTAGTGTGACAATGGCATTGACTCTGATGGTTCCATCTATCTATTCAGTGTCAAGTTTTCTTGTGAAGGCCAAAGGAGGGAAGGACATTACAGGAGAAACAGAGGAGTGCAGATGATCAGATATATATATATATATATATATATATTTAGTGTGAAAATGAGTGTCCTTCTGCATTCATTATTCAGAGTAGCTGTTCCTTTCCAACTAATGAGTTGACAGATACGAGAGCAGAGTAGAAACAAATGCTTGTTTTTACGTGTTGTCCAATCATGTTTTGTTTTTCTGGTTCTACAATATTGTCATTGTTGCACCCATAAATAGATGAAAGTGGAGTCATCAGATTTGGAACTTGAACAAAACAAACCTCTTTTCTTTGCCACTTGCCACCCATGCTCTTTGCTCTCCCCTAGTATTTATTAAAATAATTAGGTTTAACAAATGAGGATGGAAAATGAAGATTGTCCCATCTTCTTTCCTCCCACTTTTATTTCTTACAAAGCACATGTAAAATTTATTTAAATAAAAATAATAATATACTTTAAACACTTATCTGTGATATAATTTAAAATAATAATGATAAAATAAGAAGACTTATACATGCTCTCAATCTTAATCTCATTACCCTCTATTTTTCTTTAAAAAGGCTCTTGATATGATTTCCATCAATAACAATATAATATTCTGATTACGCCCTTTGTTTGATTTTGTAATGGTAAATAAATTCATTTGTTTTTATTTATAGAAATTATATTATATTATTGAATAAAAATGTTATATAGGATGATAACGCATCTTATCGTACTTATATTATTAAGAGCGTGATGATATTCCAAAATATGGGGTTTTCCTCCAATCTTGGAATGGAATCGATTTAGGTAGTTAAATAATTCTAATTTATCTTATTTAGGACCATTTTTTAATTTTGAAAATAAAATTTATCTAATTTGCAAGAACAAGTGCAGCGTAATTGAAAGCATCAAAGTAAATTTACATATACATTTTTGGCAAAATTTGTGTGAGCTAAACCCTAAACCTACTTTTATGACCTAATTTCACATAATCATTGACAAGAGGCAGAAGGGATAATTTACGATAGTAATATTCCATATTGAAGTGTACCATCAATGATGCATCTTATTGTATGAGATAGGACCAGATCTCGATACCGCAAACCTTGGCAGTGGACTGGGACCTGTACCTGTGCCTCCGGAGGCTGATCCTTCGGGGTGCTTTACTTTACGGCTTGAACTGTAATCCAAAGGCCCTGACCGTCGAACGTTTCGATGTTTGTATTCGACTCCTCGTGCACTTGCATTTTCAGCATCATAAAGCTGCTCTTGGCTGTGTGATGATGAACCTTTAAAGTAACCGGAATCATTGGTGCTGTACTGTGGAGTCGAATCTCCACGGGGTTGCCTCATGATAGGGGATGCGTGGGCCAATGATACGGCAGGTGAATGGCGCGGTGAAACACTTAATAATGATATCGGCATCGACGGAGAGTTTCCGTAGTACTGGCTATATATCGAACGGAGAATAGTGTAAGGAACGTAGGTCTCGAGAGAGCTTCTTGGAAGGTATGGTGAAATGTCACAGAGTTGGTCCAGAAAGATGAGTTTTGCAACAAGATGAGATCTGTACATACAATAGAAATAACGGATAAATATACACGGTTTGCATTAGTAGACACATACAGGAGATGTTTGGCTCTTTATCAAATAAAAAGAAACTCGATCGATAATTATCATTTACCTGTTAGCTTCGTTCCACGAATCTAATACGATTCCTGCCGAGAATTTAACAAATAGCTGCATTGCTGATTTTATACTAGCATCTGCTGACACAGACATATCGGGATCCAAACCGTCGGCATTACCAGCATGACCGTTTGATAGCAACTGTCTCTGGTGATGTTCACGTGCCAATCTAACATGCTCACTTCCAGCAATAACAGCACTAATGCACCTGCCAAGTTAAAACGAAATAAAGAAGACAACCCCCTCTTTTTACAATAATCCATACACGAGCAAAGCTTGAGCAGTAATGATAGTGTGTACTAGAAGGTCGTCTCCTCAACGACTTCATCGGAAAGTGACAATTTTGACAAAAACAACCAAAGTTATTAAATGATAAACAAACTGATCAATATTTGTCGGGTCAGACAAGCTAGCTGCAAGGCAATCGGTTTGTAATGTAACATCCATCGATCTCCGGAACTCATGGTAAACCCCAAAGGTTTTTTCTTTTTAAATTATAAGAAAACTAGAAAGGACTCACCTTGCCAAACAATGAAT